GTCTGATCCGGCCCAGCGCCCGCGGATCCGCACAGGCTCCTGCCCGCGAAGGCCCGTGCACACTTGGGCACCCACATTCGCCTCTCCCCCCTTCCCCGAGCACGCACGCAGACCCACCCGTGTACCACTGCTCTAAACGCTAGGCCAGAAGGTCCCCCCAGTCCCTGTGCTCAGGGGACCTACCTGTTAGTGGGGGCAAGACAGTGAGGAATGAAATCAACCAGGTAGAATATTGCAGAGTCTATGATGAGTGCCAAGAAACAGCAGAGGACACAGACGACACCTGAGTCTTTGTACTTAATTTATTTTTAGAGAGAAAGGGAGGGAAAGAGAGAAACATCAGTGTGAGAGAGAAACATTGGTTGCCTTCCGTACGCTCCCAGACCAGGGATCAAACTGCAACCCAGGTATGTGCCCTGATCAGGAATGGAACCAGCAACCTTTGGGTGCACGGGGACAGCACCCATGCGACTGAGCCACACCCGCCAGGGCTGCTTCTCTGTGTTGAACATTTTTTATGAATACCATTTGGAAAAAAATAACAAAAACCCTGAGTACATAAAACACAGAACGTAGGACTTGTTATTTTGAATGTCCTTTGCTTTTGCCTCATCCTCTGGAAGAAACAAAACCACCTTACAGGGTTATCTCCTCATAACCCAGTGAGACGGGCGCTATTTTTACCCCTAGTTCTCAGATGAGGAAACTGAGGCTGGGGAGGTGACGTCAGGGGCCAAAGATGACTGAGCCTGTAAGGGCAGGACTGGACTTACAGCGACAAATTCACATCTCAGGGCAGAGCCTGTGCTGCTTTAACAGCTTCTCTTCCCATCCCCGAAGTTGCGCGCATGTTTTCCTACCGTAGAGTGGTTTCCTTGAGAACAGAAATAACGTCTGGTCCATCTCTGTATCCCTCGGCAGCATCCTCCACTGTCACTCAACCCAGGAGCACCCATGTGACACGTTTAGAATTCTAGCAGTAAAACCCGGGTATATGGAGCCATGAATCCCATGGACCATCTCTGTTTTCCTTCTGCCTACAGACTGGACACAGTGAGGGTTTGCTGCCTAGAATTTCTGGACGTGGTGCCTCAGCATTCCACAGTCCCCCGGTCCCAAAGACCCGTTCCAGTGTCTCCTCTCTCCATGCCAGGGAGCCTTTCTCCTACCACCGTTCTCCTCCTTCCCAGGGCAGCTCCAAAGGGCATCATAGGTGGGGAGCCTTTGAGATCTTTGCAGAAGGGCAGGGCTGCTGAGCCACCGAGCATTGGAGCTGGAAGGGGGATGCAGTCTGTTTCCTGGCTCTACCTCGCTCCAGGCCCTGGCCCTGGCCCTGGCCCTGGCCCTGGGTAGCAGCAGCCTCAGATCAAGGGGGAGGCTGTCCCCTAATTGTTACACTCAGCCACCGAGATTGGAGCTGGAAGGGGGATGCAGTCTGTTCCTTGGCTCTACCTCGCTCCAGGCCCTGGCCCTGGCCCTGGGTAGCAGCAGCCTCAGATCAAGGGGGAGGCTGTCCCCTAATTGTTACACTCTGCGATGATTATGAAGTCAGCTCATTGCACCCCCATCCCAGCCAAACTAAGGCTGGGTCCCCTGCCCCCAGTTTCTCTCTACTTCCTGTCAGCTTGGTTGTCGGCTGTGGTCCCAAACGAACTCGATGGCATCAGAGGTGTTCTGTAAAGTGGGAGATGGGGAGGAGAACATGATGAAAAAGGAGACTCTCGTTTTGAATCAAATGTCGAAGCCCTTTCTAAACCCCAAGTCTATGAACAGGATGGTTGCCACCAAAGGACTCCCTCTTTCCTCAAGGGGCAGTTTGATTACATTCATGAAGGAAGACACCATCAACCTTCCCAGTCTACCGTAAGATACACGCCGGGTTCTGTCCTCCTTGCTAAGGCTGGAGCTGCGGGTGGGAGAGGCTTGAAGAAGAGGTACTTCCTGGACCTGTCACAACCTGGGCCCTGGACTCCCAGGGGACAGCATGTGTGCAGGTTGCACCCTGGATTCCTGGGCCCATGTCAGTTCTTAGACACATGTAGGCCTCCTACTCCAGGAGGCCTTCTGGGATTAGTCGGAGATTTGTTGACAGTGCTCCTCATCCCCTTAGTCTAGTTAGGGTCCTCCCCCACCCCACCCCCAGACACCTCTGCCCCTTCCACTCTCCCATGGCTCCCCTCTCTCAATCCTCCCTTTTGGTGCCTTCCCCTTCCTGATTATGGCCCCCCAATAACCTGTCTGTCTTCAGACCGAGGTTAACTGCTTCTCCTTGGTGGTTCTGGGTTCCCTTTACTTCATTCCACAAAACTCTTTGAGCTCCTGTAAAAGTGTCTGGCCCAGGATTCAAGAAGCTCCCAGCCTGGGATGTGTGTGTGTGTGTGTGTGTGTGTGTGTGTGTGTGTGTGTGTCAAGAATCAAGAATAATACAGCATGGTCTGTGCTATGACCGGACACCTTGAGAAAATGGAGGAGGCTTAGTATAGCTTGGGATTCGAAGATACAGTTAAGGGAGGCTTCTTGGAGGAAGTGATATGTGAGCTGAATGTCTAGGAAGGGAAGGGGAGAGCCGGGAAGGGTGATAGTAGTGTTGATATGATAGTAGTGAAGGGGTGGCCTGAGAAGTTATCTGCAGGGCAGTTTCAGTGTGTGTGACCTTTATAGTCACACACAGCCCCACATTTAGAAGGGCCCTGCGCTTAGTTGAATGTTCTGCTGTTATTCTCCTGATATTCTTAATAATTTTTGAAGGGACCCACAAACTATGTAGCTGGTCCTGATTATATGAAAGGGATATGGTGTCCATTTCCTAAGAGACCTGTAAGTAGCAGATATGGCTAAAGTGATGGATGCTTATAGGAAACTTCATGCTCTAGTGGGAAGACCTAGGGCTATGAGTCCAAGTTCAAATCCAAGTTCTACTACTTAGGTATATGGCTGTAGATAAGATTAGTCCCTCATCTGGAAATTGGGGCTAACGCTCATCCAGCAGGGCTATTGTAAATACCAGAAGAGAGCATGTGCAGCATACAGCCCGGGCTAGCTGCCTTCCATGCCCACATCAGCACTGGTCTTTTGACAAAGTAAATCTAAAACAGATCCATTAGGACAACCTGAAGTATAAATGGCATCAATACTTAGACTCTTCCACCTACAATGACCTTGGTGGGGGAATCATCTATTCCAAATGCCCACCACGGATGGGCTAGCACAGAAGGTTTGGGCTGATCAGGGTCTCTTAGGAGGAGGTCAATGGAGCTGGAGCTCAGGGAGGAAATATTTAGTCCATCAGTCAACCATGAAGCCAGAAGCAGCCCTGGCGTAAGGGACCCAGGGGAGCGTGTTGGTTGCTGACTTGGCCAGAGCAGCTGAGGGAGATGGGGTAGGAAGCAGAGGAGATGAGGCAGTAAGTGCCAGGGGCAGATGGGAATCGCATAGCATGGGGCAGGCCTGGGGCCCAGGGGATCTGGGTTCTAGTTCCAAGTCTGCCATCAACTCACCGTGTGACCCTGACTGCTCTTTCTAGACAAGTGCTCTTTAAACTGTGGGTTATGACCCATTGATGGGTCAGGAACTCATTCTAGTTGGTGGAGACCGGTATCATAAAAATGAAATTAAACAGAATAACAAGTTCCAGAGCACATCACACATAGAGGAAGAACTGGTTTGTGCAGTGTGCTTTAGTGTTATGTGTATGTATGAGTATACTAGGTTGCCATGTAATATGTATTCCTTACTTTGGGTAAAGGTAGATTTAAAAAAAGATATGAAAGCCAATTTTGGGGGTTTCTGCACTTCATTGGTAAAAAAAATATTTAAATAGTGGAAACCTGTACAAGGTTTTCCCTTTTTAATAGCAAATAATTAGTAACAATACAGATATGCCTGTAATGAAAGACCAAACAACAGTTAAAATGATTAAACCAGAGCTATTGTGTAATACAGATGAATAGAAAAAAACAGAATGCTGAGTGAAAAAGCAAGCTGCTGATGGATATGTACTGAATGATACCATTTATTATGTAAAGTTTAGAAATATGTCCTGGATGGTGTTGCTCAGTGGTTGAGCACTGACTATGAACCAGGAGATCATGGTTCAATTCCCAGTCAGGGCACATGCCTAGGTTGTAGGTTCGATCCCCAGTGTGGGGCGTGCAGGAGGCAGCCAATTGATGATTTTCTCTCATCACTGATGTTTCTCTCTCTCCCTTCCCTTCTCTGAAATCAATAAAAACATATTTAAAAATATGCAAAATATATCTTGCTTAGGGATAACATACATATGTAACAACACATGAGGAATAATAAACACAAAAATTTTAAATTTACTGTACTGGTTTTCTCTGAGTAAGGTGGGGAGAGAAGAATCCAGTGGGCTTCAACTATACTGATGAGGCTTTAGTTCTGAAGCTGGATGACGGCTAAATAAAAGCTTAATATATTATTCTTTTTTAAAATTAAATTTATTGGGGTGACATTAGTTGACACGATCACATAGGTTTAATATATTATATTAACATATTATTTTTTATTGCTTTCAGAGAGAGAGAGAAACATCAATGATGAGAGAACCATTGATCAGCTGCCTCCTGCACGCCCCCCACTGGGAATTGAGCCCACAACCCAGGCATGTGCCCTGACCAGGAATTGAACCATGACCTCCTGGTTCAGAGGTCGATGCTCAACTACTGAGCCACACTTGCCAGGCTAATATATTATTCTTGATGTCTTTGGCTATATCTAAAATAGGTCATGATTTTAAAAAATTAGAATGGAAGGAAAAAGTTTTTGAGCATTCATCCCAATATGTGTATTTGTTAATTTTACATGCTATATATTAATGTTAAATGTTATAAATTCTAAATAAATTAGTAACTACATTAAATATTAGTTTATACATATTAGTAAAGCCTAATTTATTTACTTTTTAGATATTTTTCCAACTTTTCCATCCCTCAATAGATCATTGTGGTCCTTCCCTGGGACTTTGCACCCTACTGTGTAGGGAAGCCTTAAAGTTTTATCAGTTTCTCAAATTGTGGTTCTCAGAACACCTGCATCAGAGTCGTCTGAGGATCCTATTAACTTTAGCAGTTTCCCCAGTTCCATCCCAACCAGGGACCAGGAATCTGCACTTTGCACTTGTGCCCCGGTGGGTAGATGCACTGCTGCACAGCAGTGAGGATGTTCTGAGCTGTTCAGAAGCAGCTGGGACCCTTGTAAGTCAGGCCCAAGGCCTGGCCTCCGGGAGCTTCCAGGCTGCATGGGCTGGCTGGGTGCTCACCTGTCTCCCCTCGCACTCCAGGAAGGCGATGCCAGGGGAGGAATCTGAATGCAGCTCCGATGACACCAGCATCTCCCCCGTCTCATCTACCTTGTTGAATCCCATCAAACTGGCCGTGACCCAGCCCAACAGCAGCTTCTTTGCAGGGTTGCTGGAAGGCGAGCTGAACAAGCTCAGCATCACCTCGGTGGCCAAGAATACAGAAAAGGAGGACCTGGCCTTCTGCCCCCGTCAATCTAAGTCCCAAATAGCCCCCGAGGGCCTGCTGGACCTTGACAACCCTGAGCTGGACACAGACACCTCCTCGACATCCTCAAAGTCCTCCGTGGTCACGGACGTGCCAGAGGCGCCCTTTATCTGTGAACACACAGTCAGCGATTACACGGCCGTGGTGCGTTTTCTTCCTCATGCATTTGGCAAAAGCTTACTGTCTACCCCCAATGTGCCAGGCACTGAGCTGAGCTCTGGGGGTGTGTGAAGATGCCTAACAACTGCATCCTGACCTCGAGTTCATAGGTTAGGAGAGAGGGCATGTTTGTAAGGAACTCCAGTGCAAGCTAGAAAGGGCTCATTGCTGTAGGAAGAGTTCAGATCAAGCCCACAGGAAGTCAGAAGGGAAGACACATTCCTTCCAGGTGCAGGAATTAGCTCTTGGTAACACTGGAGCTGGGGTAGAGGTAGGTTTAAACATCTAGAGATGGGGGAAAGCCATTGCCTGGAGGGGCTGACACTAGCTAAGGGTCATCGGTGGGAAAGTGGGGGAGGAAACACCCAGGACCCAATGCACACTTTCCTGTGCCTGCAGATCTGACCATCTTGCTAAAAACAAGATTCTGGACCTCATCTGGTTGATTCAGTAGACCTGGGGGGTGGGGGCTGAGAATCTAACAAATTCCCAGGTGATGCTAACGGCCCAGACCCCAGGTGGGGAAGCGCTGTCCTAGCGGAATAGATGGGGAAAGTTGGCCTGGGGTCATTTTCCAGAAGTTCTCTGAAGTCAGGCTACTTTAAAGATTTTTCTGTAAGTGCAACCGAGAGCAGCTTTTTGCAGAGCTTGATTTCTGGTGATGGGAGCAACCTGAGCTGTGTTTTAGGAAGATAAATCTAGAAGCTCCATTGTTGGAAGGCCCAAAGCAGCATTTCTCAAAAGTGTGGTTCCCAGACCACCAGCAGCGTCAGCATCACCTGGCAGCTAGTTACAAATTTAAGCCTCCCACCCGACTGAATCACAGACTGTCAGGGCAGGGAGCAGCAATCTGTCTTAACAAGTCCTCCAGGGTATTCTCAGGCACACCAGTTTGAGAACTACTCGGTCTAGACAGGGGAGAAACTGTAAATGGGAGGGCAGCCAGGAGACAGCAGGCCAGGGATCTGCAGTGTTACTGAAACTCTCCGGGGGCCTTCGTCAGGCTTGCTTGGCAACCACTGCTGTAGTACAAAGCACATGGGCTCTGGAGCTACTGGTTTGATCCCTGTCAGGTAATTGCTAGGTGACCATGGGCCAGCCACTTGCCCTCTGAACCTTTCACCCCACGTGCAATGAGTGAGGTGGACAAGACCATCTCTTAAGGCCCCTCTCAACTGACGTGTCTAGAACAGCGATTCTCCACCCTGATGTGCTGCAAGAATTTTCAAAACATGCATGCGGTGCCGGTTGACTATTTAGTGTCAGGTATTGCACGTTTTAACAATTCTTGGGGCGCACTGGTTGGAAAAGTGCTGGTCTAGGAGAAATGGAATGAAGGCACACTCCAAGGTGGGTGGGGCTGTGCAGGGAGAGCTGCAAATGCTTCGCGCTGGTGGTTCCACATGCAGTTGGCGCACCTTGCACCTCCCATCAGACTTGCCTCAGCTCCAGCAGGAACAGGGGATGGAAGAGGGACATTCCCACCCATGTGGGGTGGGTGGTGCGAGTCGGGATGATGGGAGGACAGCCCGGGCCAGCTCTGAGGAAGCTTTGGGGGCTCTCTTCCCCACTAGATTTCCTGGACCTATGCCATGAGCAGGCAGCCGGTCAGCTTCTACCAGGTCCTGTTGCAGGAGATGGCCAAGAAAAAGGACAATGAGTTTCCCAAGACAAAGAATTGCCCGTGGATCTTCCACAAGATCTTGGGTACCACTGTCAAGCTGATGGAGCTGAAGCCTAACACAAGTTACTGCCTCATCGTCCGTGCCGTCAACACAGCTGGGGCGGGGAAGTGGTGCAAGCCCTACAAAGTGAGCCCTGAAAGATGGGGGCCCACGGGGTTAGGGAGAGGTCTACACCAGGGGCTTTGGAGGTTGGGGACGCCCTATACCCCCACGACATCTCCCTGCTTGCTTTCCTTCTACCTGCGCAAATACACTTCACCTCCGAGTTGCTCTCTTCTGGGAGCCTTGAGGATTAAGCCACTTCTGGTGCCCACTGGGAATGCAAACTGATGTACTCATCAGCATCACTATCACGTTCATCTTTCACCTCGGTACCAATGATTGTGAATGGGTCAGGAAGTCAAGGGCATTGACAGATACAGGACAGAGGCTGGGCTGAAGGGGGACAAAGAAGGGAGCAGCCTGGGGGTGGGCAGGGGCATGGGGTCAGGGAGAGGCCTGTGGGTGGAAATATCACAGGTTTGAATCATGCCGCCTCGTACCTGTTTCTGGTGTTGATAGGTAGGTTGGTGATGCTACCTAAGATCCCATTGAACAAACAAACCGGGGGTGGCAACGAGAGAGGTCAGGTCTGGGGAGGAAGTCTGAGGCGTTCTCTTGTGTGATTTCAGTTTGCAACCGTGGCCAACGACCTGACCAGCTTCCCGGAGAACAACCCCATCCAGATCACCGTGCGGCGCAAGGAATCGCAGAGGAAAACAGTGGCCATGAGGCAGGCTGAGATGCGGAGGCTGGAAGATCTGGAAAACCTACTTCCCTACTAAGGGAGAGGGTTCCAGGGCACTGCAGGCCAGGTCGGCCACTGCCCACAGCTGCAGGCACCCCTCCCCAGATCCAGGCTAAGTCCAGATCCCTCATTAAAGAACTGCAGGTCACTCAGCACCTCTCCATTCTGCTTCATGCTGTGCACAGCCACCACCTCCTCCTGCCCGGCTCTGCCAGCACCACCCTCTTTCTTCCCCACGGGAAGAAGAGACCGGCACCCAGACTAAAACACACGCCAGGAAAAACAGCAACGTTGGGCAGAGGTGGCGGCAGTCCACACACCATCAGCATCAGACGAGCTCTGGAGGGACATGGTGCAAATTACACAATCTTTGGGGCAGTGCCAGATTTAATTCTGGCTCTTCTTGGATGTGAGGGCATGGGCAAACCATTTAAGCTTCCTGGGCTGTTTCCTTATAAAAAAATATGGGGACGTGCCCTGGCCCGTTTTTCTCAGTGGTTAGAGCGTTGGCCTGTGGACCAAAGGGACTTGGGTTCAATTCCCGGTCAAAGGCACATACCTCAGTTGCAGGCTTGATCCCCAGCCCTGGTCAGGGCACATGCGGGAAGCAACCAATCGATGTTTCTCTCCTGCGCGCCCCCACCCCTCCCCCAGCCTCTAGGGCAGTGATGGCGAACCTTTTGAGCTGGGAAGCAACCAGTCGATGTTTCTCTCCTGCGCCCCCCCACCTCCAACCCTCCCCCAGCCTCTAGGGGGTAAAAAAATCAATGGAGAAAATATGCTCGGGTGAGGATTAAAACACACACACACACACACACACACACACACACATATATGAGACCAGCGGCAGGGCTACTATGAGGGATATATAAAAGCACAGAAGAGGGTGGGGGCAGGTGAGGGAACACGAGATTAGAAATGCTGTGGCCTTGAGCAGTACATACAAGGATGGTTTAGAAGTTCAACCTCAGCAATCTGCCGTAGCGCTGGAACAGGAGAAAGTGGAGGCAGGATGCATGGAGGGCCAGGTCTTGGTCAAGAGTCTGTGGGGTCCCTTCACACCTGAAGTCCTCAGGGGACAGAACCATCCTCCCCTAACACACTTCGCCCACTTCTGCCAGAGTTCTCACCACTGCATGCCCCACTAGAGAATCTTCCGGGACAGCCGTCACCTGTCTGTATCCTGAGAGCCGGCCACAGTGCTCGGGGATGGCAAGGCCTCGACAAGTGTGCTTGTGAGGGGCTGAGGGAGGCGCCCCACAGAGCAGCACTGGCCAGCAGAACTCTGTGATGACAACAGTGCTGTCCAATACACTCAGCAGCCTGGAGCTGGAGCGACTGAGAACAGCATCTCTAACTGCAGGGATGCTAGTTAATGGAAATAGCCACATGTGGCTCGTGCATACACATCAGACAGCTCAGCCTTGGCTTAAACTCTGGCCACGATCACGGGCTTCAGCCAGCCTCAACCAGCCTCTCCCTTACAGGCACAAGGGGGTGGGGAGAGAGGAAAGGTGGCTTCCTGGCCCAGTGCAGAGGAGGCTAGACAAACAGACTTAGCACAGACGTTGGTTGAGCCCAGGGATTCTAGACAAGGGATTCTAACCCAAACACACAAAATATAAGTTATTTATTTGGTCACAGAATCTGGGGTCTGACTCTGAACAGAGCTGACAGCAGGGAAAGGAGGCAGGGGCAGCAGCAGGGGTCTAGTCATTGCCTGGCCTCCTGTCACCCCTGATGGTACCAGGAAGGTACAGAGTGACGGCCAAGGGCTGAGCTCTGCGGTAACCACCTCTGACCTCCGATCTGCTCTGGGGTCTGTGCAAGGACGGCAGGCCACGCTTGTTCTCCGGGTCACCACTCGGCCTTTGGTCTCTGTCAGGGCAGGCAGCTGGCACAGGCCAAGTCCAGGTGGGGGTCATCTCCTCCATCTGTGGAGAGGGGAGGGGACAGATGGGGAGTGACCGCAGGAAAGGGAGGCTGCCATGTAATGCCAGGAGCCCGCCACAGGGAGGCCCTGTGGTTTCCCCTCAGCCATCCAGAGCCTGGCTACCGTCTCAGCCTCACTCAGGCTGGGCATCTGCCGCCTGCCTCACCAGGGCCTCAGACCAGGCCCAGCCCCTGGGGTGCCCAGCAAGTTGTCCAATGACAGTGATGGTGGGGTGAAGACAGCACACGATGCTTCTGGTTCCAAGGTGTGCTCACCGCCTACCTTTGATCTTCCTGTCTGCTCAAGTTTGATAACCCCCAAGAGACAGGTTAGCCAAGCTCTCAAGACTGCACATTGAAGGGAGAACCAGGATTTGAACTAGGTCTGAAGACTCCCAAGTCCAGTGCTCACAAAGAACTATTGCCTTGTGCTGGAGCGGCCCTGGACCCACCCCCCACCTCCACCCTGTCACACACACCCTCCACAGAGCAGCCTTAGAACTGTCAGGGTTTCCCATAATCCCTGCAATGCCCCGCCTGGGAACCCTGCAAACCCTCTGAATTCTACGCCAGAAGGGAAAGTCACAGAGTGACAGCAAAGCCCAGCACACCCATCACCACCTCCCCCAACTCACATCCGGAGGCATTTGTCCTTCCCACCACTTGCCACTCTCTGGCCATCTGGACTCCAGTCGACAGCATATACCTAAACCGCACCCCCCACGCCCTCCACAGAGCAGCCTCAGAACAGTCAGGGTTCCCCATAATCCCTGCCATGCCCCGTCCTGGGAACCTGGCAAACCCTCCAAATTCTACACCAGAAGGGAAAGTCACAGAGTGACAGCAAAGCCCAGCACACCAATCACCACCTCCCCAAACTCACATCCGGAGGCATTTGTCCTTCCCACCACTTGCCACTCTCTGGCCATCTGGACTCCAGTCGACAGCATATACCTAAACCGAGGAGGAGGAAGGAAAGCGGGCCAGTGAGGAGGGTGAAGGAGGAGGGCCAGGCTTCCATTCCATACCCACAGGGTGGGCTGTACCTCATCCGCATGGCCTGGCAGGTCTGTGGCCAGCTTCTGGGCCTTCACGTCCCACACCTTCAGTGTGCTGTCACTGCTGCCACTGACCAGGAGCCGGCTGTCGGCCGACCACGCAATCTGGTACACGGCAGCCACGTGGCCACGCAGGGAAGCCAGGTACCTGGGCCAAGGGAAGAAGATGATGATGGAGATTAGATCATCAAGTACGTCTGAAGGGTCCTGGATGCCCACAGCCATAGTTTTCAACCTTGGCTGCATGTTAGAATTACCTGGGAACTTTTACAAAATCCCACTGCCCGGCCCCACCCCAGGCCAATTGAATCATTTCTGCCCATTATGTGTTTTTAAAACTTCTCCAAATGAGCTGCTTCTAGGGTGCCTCTTGCCAGGCCTCCATACCCACTCGACTTTGCATGCCTTAGAATGATGATGGAGATTAGATCATCAAGCACGTCTGAAGGGTCCTGGATGCCCACAGCTATAGTTTTCAACCTTGGCTGCATGTTAGAATTACCTGGGAACTTTTACAAAATCCCACTGCCCGGCCCCACCCCAGGCCAATTGAATCATTTCTGCCCATTATGTGTTTTTAAAACTTCTCCAAATGAGCTGCTTCTAGGGTGCCTCTTGCCAGGCCTCCATACCCACTCGACTTTGCATGCCTTAGAACCCAATGCAGCCATCTGCTTAGCCCATCTGCCTGACATCCCCCCCATATGACAGTTGCTTGCTGACAGGTGGCATGGAGTAAAACTGGGCCAGGCCCACCTGGAACTTTCAGACTAACTGTGTCTATTGGGACAAGTTATTAGGCATCTCTGAAACTCAGTTTCCTACCTTAAAAAGGCACTGAATGGCCTATTTCAAAGGGCTGCTGTGTAAAAATACACACGGACACACAGGTGCCAAGGGTTTCTCTGCTCCTTCCTGCCCATGCCCTCGCCTCTCCTCCAAACTAATTAACCCCAAGGGCACTGTGCCTCATTACACGGTGCTTCTCAGCCTTAGCGACAAGCAGAATCACTTGGTGACCTTATTAAAATGCAGATGCTGTGGCAATCATCAATAAATCAACAAACAAGTGTGGTGAGGATGTGGAGAAAAGGGAACTCTCATGCACTGTTGGTGGGAATGTAAATTGGTTCAGCCGCTACAGGAAACAGTATGAAGGTTCTTCAAACAACTACAAGTAAAACTGCCATACGACCCAGTATTTCCACTTCTGGGTTTTTATCCAAAGAAATCCAAAACACTAATTCTAAAAGATATATGCATGTCTGTGCTCACTGCAGCATTATTTACAATAGCCAAGACATGGAAACAACTTAAATGTCCATTGATAGAAAACAGGTAAAGAAAATGGGGCACATATATATATACAGTGGAATATTACTCAGCCATAAAAAAGAATGGAATCTTGACATTTGTGACAACATGGATGGACCTAGAGGGTATTATGCTAAGTGAAATAAGTCAGAGAGAGACAAATACCATATGATTTCACTTATTTGTGGAATCTAAAAAACAAAATAAATGAAAAAAACAAACTCAGATAAAGAGCAAATTGATTTACAAAATAGTTGTGGGAATGTAAAGTACAGCAACGGGAATATAGTCAATAATATTGTAAATAACTACGTATGTTGTCAGATGGGTACTAGACTTACTGGGTGGTTACTTCATAAGGGATCTAAATATCTAGTCACTATGCTGTACACCTAAAACTAATATAACATTGTATGCCAATATAACATTGTATGCCAAATATAATTGGAAAATTAATTTAAAATTCTGATCGAGCCCTAACCGGTTTGGCTCAGTGGATAGAGTGTCGGCCTGCAGACTGAAAGGTCCCAGGTTCGATTCCGGTCAAGGGCATGTACCTTGGTTGCGGGCACATCCCCAGTAGGAGGTGTGCAGGAGGCAGCTGATCGATGTTTCTCTCTCATGGATGTTTCTAACTCTCTATTCTTCTCCCTTCCTCTCTGTAAAAAAATCAATAAAATATATTTAAAAAATAAAATTCTGATCGATAAGATCCCGAGATTCTGAATTTCTA